GCTAACACTTGATTGCAGTACTGAATAACTTCACTGACCGGGTAATGTACTCGCTACAAGTAAAGCAATGATTAACCAGTATAAAAAGACCATTCAAAGTGCGGAAAGATCATACAAAACGAGACCAGGTTAAGCTGGTTCTTTATAGCCCGATCTGTAGCGCTCTGTACTCTGTACACTGAATGTGCATGTATAAACCGCTTTGACGAACGATCCCGCCAGTGTAATACTGTAATCACTCTATATAGTGATCACTACAGAGTTATTACAGAAGTTCATAGAACCACTGCGTTTAGATTCGATTTGTTTACTCTATATATTCAACAACGTATATGTAATATTTTCGTAGTAAGCTCAAATTACAAGGCGGATAGGCAGCCAGCCTATCCGCCTTCGCCGGAACGCTCATACCCTTTCGTTACTATTTAATGTACTTTTTAATCCTGCTGCCCCTTTCTATTTAAAGGAACGATTTCACTTCCTGAGTGTCACACATTCGAAGTTCCTGAGATCATCGGAAAATCTTAAGCTCAGCATTTGTAAGCACTCCACTTGCTTTTATGACAAGTTATGTATTATATGTAGTCTGTAAGTTTCATTGATTGTTTAATTCGTTTTTTTTTTTATTGTTTTTCTTCTATTTTGGTTTTATTTTTATTGTGCAACTACCACCCATTCCCAGATTCTTTTCTAAAATTCCATCCAAAGGTTGTCTGGAAGAAATCGCCGCGTGTTATAACACCGCCCATTGTACTTAAATTACTGTTGCAATGTTTACAATTTTTTTTCTGTGTGTGCAATAAAGTATAAATAAATAAATAAAATAAATAATATATATATTTGGTATTAATCATGTGCGTACGGCACAAGGAAGCTTGAAACGAAGCGCTTCGTACGTGTGAGTGGGACACCCACCATGAATCGGTGACGCTTTGCCGATTATCTTGTGGTACGATGATGGGAAGGACTAGGATGGATGTTTGTTCTAGTTGAGAGTTGCAATCTCGGCCTTGTCAATGACTTGACCAATGTGTATAGAATCATACAGAGAACATGTATTTTTAATGCCTTTATCAAACCGTTATTAATCTCTAAGATATAACAACATCCACTTTCAACTTGCACCATACACAACAAACCCATGACTAAGGTTAAACCGACACTCAATGGAATTTCTTTGTTAAAATCCAACTTTGTAAAACCGGCTGCAAGAACTTTGGAAAATCAACCATTTTCACACTGTTTAAAGCTCATTTTCCATTAGAATTTAACCTTGAAGTGTGACAATAGAGCTTGCAAATTGTGATGTTTATGATTTTGTTGAAAGAACGCGAAGTATTTGATAATTATCTGTGGATAATGTGATATTAGATAACACGACAATTATTTGTGAAATACTTTTTTGTTGTTCAGCGTAGTTGTAGGTAATGTTCGTGTTCAACTTCAGTTTTGTTTTAATGCTTTTGCTGGCCAGTGTGAAACGTTTGTTATAGAACTGGTAATTTAAAAAATGAAATAGATTTCATTTTTTTTAATTCGAATTCTATTTTTTTTTATTGTGGGAAAGCCATGCTTCGGCATGAATGGGCCCGCTCAAGCGGAGTGATACCACGGCCTCGCAAAAAACTGGCGTGAAACAACACTTGCGTTATGTTTCGTCGTGTGACTGAGATTACCGGAAGCCTAATTACCACTCTCCTCAATCTCCCTAATCCCCGAATTGACAATCCTCACATTCCTAATCCCTAAAAGGCCGGTAACACACTAGTAACATATCTGGTATTTCGGGTGTCCATGGGCGACTCCGATTGCTTGCCATCCGATGATCCGTCTGCTCGTTTACCGGCTTATTCAATAAAAAAAACTTAAGACAAGGACATCGAGGTCGATGTCTCCCTCCCTCTGATAATATCCAATAGTGATTCTGATTAATACATAATGTACATCACTTTAAGTATCTCTCCAATCTTCGAACGCCGTTCATCCATTTATATATGCCTGCACCAATTACGTATAAATTAAATGTTTTATTTAAAAATATTTATCTTTAAAAGGTTTATGAAAATTATATTAGCAAAGAAAATGATGAAAAACTGATGAAAAGAGCTTCTAAGAAGATATAAAAGCTTTTCAAAATAATTCTTTGAATCTAAATCCAATACGAACGGAGATTTTATATCGTTCAGGGAATTGAAGTAATAAAAATTCTTAGTAAAAGCGACAGTTAGCTCTAAAGGTTCAGAAATATGAAATCTGTACTATAAATACAAACAAGTCTTAATATACATAGAGTAATATTTCATTCTTTGCTAATACATACAAAACGCTTCGATTTTGTCCTACGGTTACGGTTCGTTAGTAGGCAGAAATACATACATCTTTAGTTTCCATCACATGCGTGTCGATGCTTACATAATTATGATAAATTCTCAACTACATAGTAATGAATACATAGTACAAATCTTAATGAATTCGTAGGAATCGTTTCAGTAACTTTTGTGCGTAAGTAAGTGCTCAACGTTTATTTTTTATTTTTTTACTTTATTTTATTTTCTATACAGGGTGTTAACGAGACGTTCCCGAAACACTGACAAAAAGACATAGTTTTTACAATTGGCTTTTTCCTAGGTTTAAAATAAATTGTTTCAACTTTTCAATGCAATAAATAATTAAATAAACTAAAAAGCAAAAAATAACTATTATTAGTACTGATAGGTTACCCACCCACTGATAGGTAAGAAGTCGGTGCCATAAGTTCCATACAAAATTATTCATTAAAACCTTAATAGGTACCTAATTCACAATTTTGTGGACATTAAGTTATATCATTATGATATGAGCTTATGGCACCGACTTCTAACCTATCAGTGGGTGGGTAACCTATCAGTACTAATAATAGTTATTTTTTGCTTTTTAGTTTAGACTTTTTGTTTGTTATTAGTTTTTGGTTTTTTGAAGTCGGTTTTTTAAACGCAGTTTTTATTTTATTATTTTATCATTTTCAGTGTAAAGCTACATAAACCCGTTTTTTTACTTATAACCTACATAGGTGCAAAGTTCTAATTAATACAAATTATACAAGCCTAAACACAAGGTAGTTACAGTATACCGTTGAGGAGTTCCCTTAACAATTACACTTCTTCATCATCAGACCCTTAATGACAGCCCTACTCTATCTAGGTGTAAAGTCCTCATCAATACAAATTAATCAAGCCCAAACATAAGGTAGTTACTGTATACCGTTGAGGAGTTCCCTCGACTGTCTATCGGCTCCATCGTCAGGTCGACTCCAGACCCTTATCAAATTGTAGTGTTTAAAAATCCTAATTGAAAAACATAATAGACGCATCACTCGCCCATATAATTTTCGAAAGTTCCCCTCGGTTTCCCTAGGATCCCATCATCAGATCCTGACCTCATGGAAATGGGACCATCTTGGGAGTATACCCTTTCCAACAAAACAAAAATTTTGCAAATCGCTTCACGCATCTCAGAGTTATGCGCGTACATACATACAAAAAAAAAAAAAGCAACATACCGGCCGAACGTATAACCTCCTCCTTTTTTGAAGTCGGTTAAAAATAATCATACCTACTCTCATCCGTTGATTTGACAATTTACCTACTTTTGGATTATTTCTCGCCAATTCTAAGAAAATAAGTATGCTATTTGACGCATAAATATGAAGACGTCATAAGTTGCGATCTAATACAAAATTCAAAGAAAAGCATCGTTTTTGACATTTCAATATAAGTATTGAATTTGACTACCTGTCAACTACCGTATTTTAATCGTTATTGTTTTCGTGTTATTTATTCATGCAACATAGCCCTTGAGCAGTTGATTACAACTATTATTACATAAAAGAAGCATTTAATTCCTTATTTTTATGAATAATACTTGTTTTTACCATCAACTGTCTGAAATATAGACGCTTCCAGATCATAGGAATGACATAATACATCGTAGAAACATAAAAAATAATAAGAAGAAAACAAATGAAAAGTTTATGTAGAACACGCCTGATTTAGTCAGTATCTCAAAGTAAATAATATTTCCATAAAACAATGAGTTCACGAGTGAATTTATTCATAATTTTCCTATTGTCGTCTCGGGATTCATCTGATTGTTCTTAACCTACTTTTTTGGTCTGAACTTAGATTTTCTTTTTTTGAGACTGAATAGTAAAGTACGAGTGGCGTGAACTAAGTTTTGTGTTTTGTAACTTCATTTGGCGATGTCTGTCTGGCTAGAATAAGGTATACTTGACAAAAATTTCTAGAAGTTATGTATGTTATAAAAATACGTATATCAATGTATCTCCTTTATAACTATAAGATCTCCTTCATAATAGAAACGCACCAAATTAGTACAGTATACTTTTTTTTCTAATAATTATGATAAATATTTAACCAGAAGACATTATTACGTACACAAATGATCAAATCACTTTAAGAAACGAAAACCAACGTCAATTTTTACGTTTGATGGGCTGACGCGCTTTTGACCACTATCTCGCCTAGTGGTAAGAGATGATGCATTCTACGATGGAGCACGTCATCCCATAAGCAACCTATTCACTCGGGCCTTGAAGACTCCCAGGTACCTTTCAGGAAATATAGATTCTGGCAAAGAATTCCACACCTTAATACATATTACAAAACATTTTTTAACTACTGTAAATAAAAACCTCAACATCCTTACTAATAATATTATAAATTTGAAAGTGAGTTTGTTCGTTTGTTCCGCTTTCACGCCGTAACTACTAAACCGATTGCTTAGATTTTTTGCAGACGTAAAGTTAGAAGTCCAGATTAAATAATAGGGTACTTTTTATCCCGGAAAATTTTATATTCCCGAGGAAAAACAAAAGTACTAGTATAGATGGCGCTGTGTGTATTGATATATGTCACATAGGGTACTTTTTATCCTTTTGTGACGATAGCGAAGCCGCGGGTAAAACTAGTTTAAAATAAATTATTACTTTAAACTAAACTTACCTTCAAGTCTCTCGAATGCCTCAGCTCCTGTCTCCGAGGTGGCTGTCCAGGCAGGTCAGAGTACACAAGATTCCGTACAGATCCGCGGAACTTAGGCTCAAATATCACTGAGGGTAACGCTAGTGTTGTCAGCTTCGAGTTGTACCTGCAACAAGATAAATGAACAGTGTTAATAAAAAGATAATTAGATGCTTTATATGTAAAAGTAACATATTAAGTCTGACTATTGAACAATTGTTATTATTTTCTTGCACAGATTCAAAGAACAAAGAAGTAGCTACTAAAGGACCAGATTCTACAACCAATAGAAAAACTATTTACATAACATAACATCACACCTTTTATCCCCGAAGGGGTAGGCAGAGGTGCACATTATGTGACTGTACAATGTAACACCCACTTTTCACTATTTATGTTATGAGTCCCATGTAATAGGGGGTGAGCCTATTGCCATATACCGGGCACAATTCCAGACTCCGTGCTACTACTGAGATTTTTTTTAAAACCCAGTAACACTTTGCCCGATCCGGGAATCGAACCCGAGACCCCTTACGCGGCAGTCGCACTTGCGACCACTCGGCCAACGAGGTAGTCTCTAACTCTAAAACTATTTACTGAAAATAAAAAGCACTCAATTCATCCCCCTGTTCTCAGCTTTCTCATAACAAAATTTACAGCCAAGACAACGTAGAAAATAGCTAAGAAAATAATCAGAAACCTATATCCTCCACAACAGTGACGTATGCGTTTAAAATATTTTTAATAAAACACAATTTTTAAAGAACATTCGTCTCGGCGAGACAGAGATGGGTGGCAACAATTTATCTTGCATCCCTCTCTGTTACATGGTACACCGTAGAACAATATTTCAATGTGACATGGTCGCTAGAAGCTTGCTTTAAAATTGCTTTTACTTCTATTTACGGTTGCTTTGTTTCTAGAATAATCGCGAGGAAAAATACTAAAATAAGGAAGGAAACATTCTAAGTTACGAATACCTTGCGACTTTACTTGGGTAGTCTCAATTTTGGGTACAATACATTCTATTTTATTATAGGAGCGGGAATTTCAAGACTTGATTCCGTGGCTGTTTACTTTGCAAAGGTATTTCGAAGTTTCCACTTGGAACTTACTTAAGGTTTAAGGATTTGGAAGCGGTTGACAAATAAACGCTTTCTTAATGGTTCTAAGCCATTGAAGTTTGAATGTGTGATGCCGTCTTAATGAGGCTGTTGTTATAGAAATTGGTGTGTAAATTGTAGTTATGTTCTGAAATATTTCCATGATCATTGATTAAATGATAGATAAGGTATCCATAAAATAAATGAATCGTTTGATGTACTGAAGTATATGCTATATATTCATAGTTCAGTACATTCGGTCATCATCAACAACCTATAAATGCCCACTGCTGAGCAAAGCCTCTTCTCACACGGAGAAGGTTTGAGCATTAACCCCTGGTATGCCGGAACGTAGATATACGCGAGACACAATGTGTTTTCTATTGTGTCTCACATGCCGACAGTAAGAGGTTAATCACCATGCTTGCTCATTGCGGTTTAGCGATTTCAAACTTATAATTAGAAAGTATAAGCCCAGGTTTTCTCACGATGTTTTTTTTCACCATTTATCAGTGGTGACTAAATAATCTAAGAAAGTACATATAAGTTGGTAAAAGTCATAGTGGTATAATGGTGGTTTCGGTAACTTAATAAAACCTTGTAATCAGGCCTAAAAATCTAGCGCTAAAGAACTTGTAAACTTATGTTTAAACAGTAAACGTAATCAACGGTAGTTCTAGGGATTATATACCCTAAAAAACCAACATATAAACTTGTGTATTAATAAGGAAGTCAAGAATCTTTGGTTTAAAGAGGTTACATGCCTCCGTCTTATCCCATTGTCTCCAACGGTGCGTTAAATAATTCGAACCGCACAATGCACTCACAATGTTTACTAAAAGCTTCCAGACTGCACAGCTTTAATGAAGAAAAGAGCTAGTTCATATAATAAGTGCTGTTACAATATATATCACAATCACCTTCTTCCAGCTGTGTGGCCTTTGAGAACTAGTATTAAAGTACCCTGTATAATGTGTACAATACCTGCTGCCTCTATCTCTGCCTCGTTGGCCGAATGGTCGCAAGTGCGACTGCCGGGCAAAGGGTCTCGGATTCGATTCCCGGGTCGGGCAAAGTATTACTGGGTTTATTAAAAAAAACTTCGTAGTAGCACGGAGTCTGGAATTGTGCCCGGTATATGGCAATAGGCTCACCCCCTATTACATGGGACTCATAAGTAGTGAAAAGTGGGTGTTACATTGTACAGTGGCATTAAGTGCCGTAATGTACACCTCTAACCTACCCTTTTGTCGCGGAGAACCTAACGGGTAACCGGGGCTCCGGCTCGACGTGCAGGAGAAGGAACAGGGTGGTTTTTAGTCAGTAAGAGTCTGACACTCCCTTCCGCCTCACCCAGGCGGGAGCAGTCGTTCGATGATTTTCCCCCCTTAAAAAAAAAAAACTACCCTTTTGGAGATAAAAAGGCGTGATGTAATGTTATGTTTGTGTACAATATTAAAAAATATTGCGTCAAATTTTATTTAGATCTATTCAGCAGTTTTTGCGTAAAACATCCTTATATAGATTGATCTTCACAAACATTTTCATTGCTAATGTAAGTGTCACCAGGTAGATGTCTACCTGGTCCAAACTATACATAACCTGCTCCTTTAACACAGGCCAACTAAATACTAAGGTAACGAACAAAACACCAAACTTTAATTACTTGAACATTCACAAAGAAAGATGTCGGAATTATTGCTCTTTAAATATTCCGGTCCCAATGGGCGTCTACCGTCAGAATTTTCTAACAACTTCCAAAAGTTACGCAGATAATTTTCACAAGAACACAAAAGTAATAAAAAGAAATAATATTAAAGATGTTTTTTAGTATGATCTTAATTTTCACGATGATGGAGGTGGGCACAGATAAATAATGTGGAAATGGACGCAAGAAAAGAATAAAAAAGAGCATCAGAAATTAAAGATATACAAGATAACTAATGTAATTCATTGTTGTAGAAAATCTAAAATTATAAAGCGGATCTGATAACCATATAAGTAGGAAACTATAATAAAAATCTTTTTTTATACAATGAGATTCTGTTGTGTCTTTCTTACACAGCAATTTAGTAGGTACATAGTATGTAGAGGTAGGTACATGGTAGGTAATTTTAAAGTCTGACTATTTTAAGCAAAGCCGAAGGTAAGCAATAACATGGCAATAATAACACACATAATATCATTCCTTTTATCCTCAAAGGGGTACGCAAAGGTGTACATTACGGCATTTAATGCCACTGTACAATGTAACACCCACTTTTCACTATTTATGTTATGAATCCCATGTAGGGTGAGACTATTGCTATACCTCTATACCGGGCACGATTCCAGACTCCGTGCTACTACTGAGACTAAAAAAAAATCCAGTAATACTTTACCCGACGCGGAGATCGAACCCGAGACCCCTTGTCAATAATAACATTTATAATATTACTAGCTTCTGCCAGCAGCTTTGTCCGCGTCCCCGTCGAGTAAAAAGTAGTCTATGTGTTATTCCGGACCATAACCTACTCTTGTTCCAAATTTCATCCCAATCCCTTCAGCAATTCTACCGTTAAGGAGTAATAACCAAAGAAACACAAACTTTCGCATTTATTATATTAGTATGGTAGTATTATGTATGTCTGGACATAAGCAAGCTGACACAGTATTATTTGCAGATTAGTAAAAATAACATAACATATAACTTAGCTTCACGCTTCAGCTTTTTATACCCTAAGGGGTAGGCAGAGGTGCACACAGAAGTAACACCCACTTTTCACTATTAATGTTATGAGTCCCATGCAATAGGGGGTGAGCCAATTGCTATATACCGGGCACAATTCCAGACTCCGTGCTACTACTGAGATTTAAAAAAACCAGTAATACTTTGCCCGACTCGGAGATCAAAACCGAGACCCATTCGCACTTGCGACCACTCAGCCAACGAGGCAGTAGTAAAAAATAAAATAATATAATGTAGAATTTGAAGTACAAAAACATGTCGACATTAAAACGACACATAGCTCAGTGCAAATATATTCTAAGCATGCATGTTTCGAAACGAATTCACAATACGAACGAATTTAATAAAACTTTTTGTGTCATCAATTTTATTGCTAAAAGGGATTTTTGTTAGAATTCTAAAAAGACTTTTACAAAGTCACATTGGTCTGAGTTCATTTTGTTTGAGTGTATAATTGTCTAAATTATATTTAAATAGAGCTATGTTTTAGTAATAGTTAAAGTTGACGTCATCAGTGATTTCAAGAACATAGCATCGTTTTGAATTTCCATATGCAATTAACATTTTTTTGTAATATAGACAATACTAGGAATTAACTTTAACGTAAAAGAAGACCACGAAAGAAACGTACGACAATGATCTACGTAGAAAACAAATAACTCAGTTTGAGAGAGTGAAGCAACGCTTGCGTTGTGTTTCATCGTGTGAGTGAGGTTACCCGCTGCCCAATTACCCTCCCCTTCCCCAATCTCCCCAATCCCTGAATGCCCAACGATCCTCAAACTCCTAATCCCCAAAAGATCGGTAACGCACTTGTAATGCATCTGGTATTCCATGTATCCATGGGCGACGCCATCAGCTTATCATCAGGTGATACGTCTGCTCGTTTAGCGGGTTATGCCATAAAAAAATCGACCACTTGTTTGTACACTTATAAACCAAATTCAGAACTTAAATCAATCACATTCGACCAATCAACCTTAAACAACAAAAAATCTGTATTCATCTTCAATGATACGATCATTAAAAATATCAATGTATCTATAACTAAAAGCTAACCTTATTTATAACATCACAAAACTATTAAACACACGACAAACAATTGACCAAGACCAATATAACAGAATTTCGATGCGTCCAAAGTGCTAAAAGCCAATGAACTATCTCCATCGCTCGCTATATTAGGATCCTCAACTTATAACGAAGTTCCAACTGAGCAATGAATAGTTAATGCTAAATGTCTTACAAGTTTCAGTTTACAGGCTTTACAGGCAAACTTTGATCTATAGATTAGTC